AAGTTTTTTCTCCGTGCACCCTGCTTAAAAGCGTAAATATTTTTATTAGGAACGAACCATAGAAGTTGAAAAATGGATGCCATTGTTTGTTTTTTTTTATAAGATTTCATACAAGAAGAACCCCTCAGAAATAAACGTATAACAAAGTAAACGTCAATATTTGGAGTTTTGGTCGAAAATTCCAAGTCCAGTTTCTCCTAGTGGATCGTTCCAGTGTGCGCCGCGTCACCTTTCGGATCCCTGGGTTCGATGAAATGAGCTCATTAACACCTCGAGTACCTTTTCCTTGCTCGACCGTAGTAAATGCCTCTCTTCAAATTTTAAACTCATGGTCGTATAAAGAGCTTTTCGGATGAGCCCCGATCAGCACGAGTTTCCTTTAGTTTTGAGGCTCATCTGGAGTTAACATGTAGCGCCTTTTCAAGGACCATGGGTTCCCCTCGAATGGATTATTACCGATTACTCATGGTCCATAGGAGTTGTGAATGTATGAGAGGAGGAATTAGTCGAAAGGTTGAGCCAGAGAAGGTATTGTGCGACTGAAATTATATTTGATTTTATCTGGAAAAGTCACGGGTCCGGGATATAAGAACGCTTGGTGAAATTTTTGTCATGGGGTTTGAGGACTTTGGGTCATATTTTTAGAAAGGAAACATTTTTACAGTATTCTCCTCTCGAACGGCAAAGTTACTCTTCTATTATTTTGTTCTCTGTGAGACCATTTTGCTTACTATGATACACAGAAAAAATCTCTCTTTCATAAACGCTTGTTCTTGCACAGACAAGTTGCTAAATGAAAAGTAATTGAAAAGGTTATACAAAAAGTTTTAAAAAAATTGGATTTTTACTTTTTTTGAAACGCCTGATTACTTTCGTTTGTAGAAGAAGAATTTTTATTCCTTTTTCTCCTCTTCAAAATGTTTGAATAAGAATTGCTCAAAACTTGACTTGATGAAAGCATGCTGTGGTGAAAATACAGAGGTAAAACAAGGCTCAACCCCCTCTGAACTTAAAAGCTGAACAGTTGATAATCAAAGTTAGAGATGGTGTTCTGAAGCAGAGGACAGATTATTTTGACTTTGACATTCCACTTGACACATTTTCAACTGGTTGTACTATGAATGATCAACAGGTATTTCAGTCTTTCCAAAATTTCCCTTGACAATTCATGCACCGTTTAAATAACACCTCGGAGAACAGTATTTCGTCGAAAACCCGATCTCTGGTTTAGTGGCTGAGTTCTTCTTCAAATAACCAGTTGGATTCGGAAGCAGCCTTGAGCGGAGCATTGCTCGTTCACACCTCGCACCATCGCGCCTTCAATTTTGGAGATATGCAACATGGACATCCATCAAGCTCGAATAGTTGTATCTCTGCGCCTTCGTCAACGTGCGTCATTTCCCATGCTCTATTTCCACGCTGCGTTGGTTCCGTTTGTCTCATCGTGCATCTAAGGTTTAAATACATATTCCTGAACCGAAACTTAAGCAGTTTGACTGACAAAACCTATTTCATCACATTATTCCCCATTTTACGAAAAGCTTGCCATTTATGAAGCATTGCTAGAGATCAGTTTAGAAATCTCGATAACTTTTCTAGATCACTTTTTATGGTGGAGAGGCGAGAACGATCGATAATCGATATTTCCCCATTTAAAGTGGTGGTAAAAAATCGATTGTTAAGGTGTTCGTTGCGAACACCCTGTTTATCGATCCTTTTCCATACGTATAAATGACAGATCAATCGATATATCGTAAAACACGCCGTGCCATTGAACTTTTACGTTCTCCCAATCAGTATTCCCGAATTTGCCTAATTTTGAGCAAGATGGCATCCATAAGAGTATCCATTCGGGTCATATCAAAGTTCTCATCATTTATGAAAGTCGATTTGTCATTTTCTTACAGTCAAAGAGATCCGTGAACAGGAACCCCGCGTCGCAACTGTCTCACAACTTAACAAAGTCTAGGGAGGTGGGGGAGGGGGGGGTCCAAGTCCACCTCCTCCTGTTCGAGAGCCAGTTCAAGGTACTCCGAGGAAGGGTGTTTGAGGTTCAAACATTTACAGCCTAATAACTCAAAAGACCATTTCACCTCCATTAAATTTTTAGCACAAGGCGCCCAAGCTCATAGGGAATGGGGTCATAGTGAAATGAGTGCAATCTCAACCTCTCCGTAGAAGAGCATGGTCGGCCCTCCGGTCGGGCCTTTGAAATAAAACTGAATTCACCCCATCAAAAATGACCGAAAGCGGCTAAAAATCACTGCTGAGGTGAAATTTTCAAGGAATATGAGCGTGACAAACACCCCCCTCTGTCACCCCCGAAATCAGGCCCAGCAACTTTTCTCTTCAAAAAGTTTTGATTCGCTCGTGTTCTATTGCTTTGCAAACGCTTCGTAAACAAAAAATGTCGAAGGTTCTCATTGGATCTCAGTCCCTGTCAACGAAATTAATTATCGCCCAAGGGATGCGAGACAGGGGCTAGGGGTGGGGAAGTGAAGCCTCCAGGGCTGCTTCTGGGAATGCTCTTTCCGTACCCACATCTGCCTCGGGAAGACATCGCGAGCAGTTTGATCGAAATGAAGCAGGTTACACGCTGTCGTGCTAGGCTGAAACGTCCTACGGAAATTCGCACGTTGCCAGATGCCTTCTTACATGATAATAATTTCAAACGAAAGTTCGGGATATTTTTCCTTGAAATTGTCACATACACCGGGACTGAACTGCCAATAAAATCCCTTGAAAAATTCGAAGAAAAAATTTTACATGATATTGAGAAAATGCACTTTTTACCGGGGAAAATTTAACAACGTTTGGATTTTCATAGGGGGTTGTTCCTTAGGACGGAAGCAGGGGGGTTGGACGGGGTACGGAGCTGAGGGGTATTTATTTTCAGGGATGAGCGAAGCCGAACAGCGGATTATAATGGCGCCGCTTGAGAGAGCTATCTCGCAATTACCCGAGCTAATTACTTGGCGTCTCACACCGATGTTGCCGCAGACTCGTTTAGTATGACGTCATCATAGCGCTGATACTCAGCTTCTCAATGATTCCAATCATGAATAGTTTAAGACTCGGTCTGACGTATAAAGTCTATGATCGGTGATGGTAGGAGGGAAATTTTGGACTCGAAGATTTTAGATCCGACCGACTAAACCTATGGAGGATTTTACGAGGAATGCGTCGGTGCCACTGATTTTGTCTAATACTGACCCTCGACCTTAGAAAATCTTTTAAAGTTTTTAAGTTATGCGAATACACGGATAAATTTTGTTATTTGGATCAACAACAACTTCCACTGAGTATATTCCGGATTATTACAATTTACAAATCATTTAGATTTCCTTCCTCTCCGGTCATGTTTGGCCCCGATTATCTTCCGAAGTATCCAAAATATCGAAGATGAAACCACAAAAATGTGTATCTCGTTTTTGAAAAATCAAAATACCCAAAATATCAACGATGATACTGCAAAAATGTGTATCCCGTTTTCGAAAATTTGTTTCAAATCTCAGCTCTCGCTTTATTTCACCAGAGGAGAGTTCTCCTTCATTCCTAACTGAGTACTAGCACTGGTAAAAAAAACCTCTTGGTTCAAGAGTGCAGTTTCTTGTCGCCGGATTGTTGCTTGAAACAAGAGTCTGGACTCTTGTTTCAAGCAACAATCCGGCGACAAGAAACTGCACTCTTAAGTCAATGCACCCGCGCATTGGTCCAAGAGGTTTTTTTTACCAGTGGCTAACTTCATTGCTTGAAATTTTTGCAGAATTGTCTCTATAGCGAGAGTAAAAATCAGGGAAGTGTTCATGAATGACCTCGAGTTTTTCTCTATTTAGAAGATAAATTGTGACTGGAAGTCTGGAGCGTCGGAAATGGAGTTAAGCATTTTTGCAGTTTTCTCGTAGATAAACCATTCCTAAATATTGAGCAGACGTGACCGTCCATTGGGATGAGGAATATCAGACACCACGCACCACTAATACGCAAATTGAGTTATTGATACTAAAATGCAAGCAATATGTTGCAAAAACTACCCCTAAATTTCACATCAGACTGTAACAATAGTGGTTTAAAGTATGAAATTACGACGACATAATACCGAAAAAAAGATATATAATTAAAATTCTAAATTGTCATTTGCAGAGAATTTGCATACAATTATTGCCGAATTCAAAAGAAAATCTGCGTCTCCTAATGCCATAATAATGCAATAATTGCTCTCAATTTTAATCCTAAGGATAGTGGAAAGAGTTTTTTCCAAATCTCAGCGTCCGATTTCCGATCCATTTCGACAAAAATCCTTTTAATGAAGATTGCGGCTTCGTTGATTATGATCTTTTGTCTCTTTTATGATCCTAAATATCTTCTTCTCTAAAATTCCGATGAAAGTAGGCTCCATTTCTCCAAGTTTTCCCATTTCAAATAGATTAAATTTACATGAGAGATCGAAGGGGCTATTATGGGAGCCTAAAAATAGCCGACCAAACAGTGAGCGGCACACAAAAGCAGAAGGATTGAGATGGCAATACTCTCTCGTACATTGGTATTCTAGGATTGACATCCGCGAAGCCTTTCTGAAAATGTTTTTAGTGGAAAATGTGCACCATTTGACAACGCTTCTGTGATGCAACACGGCTGATTCGAACTCCGAGGATTTTATGATAAATACGATTGTAAATGTGACGTAAAAACTCTCGAGAACAACGACCGTGATCATACGCTGTGCCGCAGAAGACCAGAGCGCCTCCAATTTTGTGTGTATGCAACCCGGACATCCGGAGAACACGAATAGTTGCATCCACGCCTGACCATTAAAAAAACTGGCGCGCCTTTAATTTGTTCCGCTGGTTATCACAAAATATGACACTTATTGCATTTACACGTATCTAACGTCATGTTTGGATAAAGATAGGGCGGTTTGAGGATGTTATCAAATTAAAAACAGAATTAAATCATGATTAATGTTTTTGTTAATTTTTGTTTATCTCTTCTGTTTTTAGCCGTTTATCGGATCTGGTTGCTTCGAACGGGCAAAGAATTCGAGATGCCCTCCCTGTCTTCGACGCAGCTGGCTTTGCCAAGATTCCTCCTCCAGCGACGAAAACAATTGTGCCGCGATTCTAATTCCTACGGATCAAATGCAGAAGATTCAAAGGTTGCCATTTGCACCATAACTTTACTCAGTTTCTATGCGTTTCTTCCAAAATAACACAAAGTTCCTCGTGATAATTCCTAGTTTAACTATAAAATGTTTCTGTTTTGTGAACAAACAAAAATCTATTTGTTCAATAAATAATTCTATAAAAATTGATTCTGGCTTTTAGATCTTTACTTTTTCCTTTATACAGGGTGATTCAGGGTTAAACGGCCAAACTGCATGAGCCAAAACACTCCAAAACCTCCTTTTTAAATTGAGATTTAGATATTTTTTAGATCATTTACGAATCCAGGGCATAAAAGTACAAGAGAGTACAAATTTTCATGAGATTTGGTTTACAGCCGTTCCCAAAATTCAGGAAAAACTTTTTACTTTCCGAAATTTTGGGGAGCCGTAGCTCCGACTGAGGGCTCTTTTGGGAAAAACTTTATGTGTGAAAAGTTATTCAGCCGCATTTTGCATCTATGTATAATGATAAATGATAAAACAGTGAGCCAAAGAGGCATATTTTTCAATTTTATTTTTTAAACAGGCGCTAATGCATTTCGGGGGCCTCGTCCCATATTCAGAGCATTACCTAAGCAGAGATTTTCAAGAGATGAGAGAACTAAAAGTTAGTATAGTTAAAATTATAATTATTATATAATCCGCATACAAAAATTTTAGTGGTAAGAAAACTAAACATTTTAAGTTAACAATCTTTCTTCCCTCTTCGGCTGAAATCAAATTTAACAATTTTAATCAATTTTAACAGTGGAGACATTGACGAGGCCATCGATGACGTTAGTAGGAAAAGGAACGTGAGTGAAAATCTCCTATATTTTTGAACTTTTAGTAACATGTCAAAATAAGGCAGCCGAGTTGCAGTCGAAGCAAAGCCGCTTTTTTTCGCCCTCTTATTTTTTACTTACCCGCTCCCTATGGGTAGCGAAAGTATTGTTTTTCATTAAAGTAAGGCTGAACAAAAGAGGGCGCGGAGTAACGAAGGATAAAGCAGAGCCACAGGACAGGACCTCCCTTCTTTGGCGAACGAACATAACTCGATGGTCACAAGACCCCTGGAACGTATGAACCCCTATGGAAAACAGGGCTCATCTCGAAATGAATTTACGCCCTTGGGACGAGGAGGCACGTTGGTAGATCACTTAATCCGGGTAAACAAGACAACAATAAAGGCTGATAAGATGCGAGGAAGGAAAAAAGGACAGCGCGGAGGGGCAAAAAGCATAGCCGCCAACAGCCTTTTGAATGCCGCATGAGGTAATCACACTTCGCTCGAGCTGCCAACTGCAAAAAGGTCACAATCTCCGTTACACCGTCTCATATTTAAATGCTCGAGCGCAGGGTTGCCAATTAGGTTATTAACCTATTATCCCTCCCCCGAGGGTGCAACCTCAGTTCGTGGATTCGCTTGTCGCTAGCACCTCGATTTAGTCTGGGAATGCTTAAGTTCACTTTTCTGTTACAATTTCTCCCACTCCATGACCGTCAAAAGTTTAGAGATTTTTGTTAGGTTTACCAAAAGTTCCGAGAAAGTTACGAAAAATGCAAAAGATCCGGAATATTCCGGGAATTTTAAAAGATCCGGAACATTTCGGGAATTTTAAAAAAGATCCGGAACATTTCGGGAATTTTAAGAGTTCCGAACGCCGGCCAGGTTGGCCTAGTGGTCAGCGCGTCTGACTCTAGGCCAATAGGTCCCGGGTTCGAATCCCGGTGGTGGCGACAAATTTTCATGGAACTGACGAGTGGATCTGCAGAAATAGATTCCACTCGGCCTTAATCCCTGAAAATTTGAAAGCCTGGAGCATGGATGTGCCTAAGTCTCATGATGTCTAAGGACAATACGAGGTCTGTTAGATTAGAAACCGGATTTTGGTCATAACTAGCCCATAATGCGTCCAAATTACGTTTTCTTGAGCTTTTCTGATAACTGGAAATATACTTAAGAACGCTACGTTCACAGATTTTGTTTATTTTGATCAGTGTTTATTCTGTGTCATCTTGAATGCGAGTAAGTCAGGTGCGTTTTGCGATTTTCATCATGCGATCACTGATAGAACAAAGATTCAACATTAAATTTTGTTTTAAACTCGGTATACCTTGTACCAAAACTTTTGGTATACGCTAAGTAAAGTTTACCATGATCATTGTATGAGATGTTCCCACTGTTTTGAATGAGTTAAACGATTCAAAACTGGTCAGGAGTTCGTCAAAGATGAGGAGCATGGGAATCGACCCTCAACGGCAACCGACATTTGTCACGTGGAAGAAATGCGGGCAAAAGTGCTCGAAAACGGTCGTTTTGAGCTTGTTGAACAGAGTAATATTTCTGAAGGCTCTGTACATACAATTTTGATAGAATATGTAGACACGCATCGAGTTTCAGGTACACTTGTCCCTTGATTGTTGTCCGTTGAACGAAAATCCAACCAAATGTCAATTTCCCTTTAGCTGCTTGAACGTTCTAACAGTGATCCTACATTTTTGGATAGGATAATTTTCGGTGACAATATTTTAGTGAACGGCTACGATATGGAGACAAAACTCCAATCGTCCTTGTGGGTTGAAAAATGTAGTGCAAGACCGAAAGAAGAGAGACAAGTTCGGTGAAACATAAAAATCGCAAAACACCCTTGAGGTTGCCTTACTTCAAGCCACATACCAACGAAGCTCATTAGGAGTTTTCAAACTTGTGAACGTAGCGTTCTTAAGTATATTTCCAGCTATCAGAAAAGCTCAAGAAAACGTAATTTGGACGCATTGTGGGCTGGTTAAGACCAAAATCCGGTTTCTAATCTAACAGACCTCGTAAATACTGTCTATCGATGGCTGTAGGTTCCAACGGAATATAAGCCACTAAACCAGTAAAAAAAAAAAAAAGAGTTCCGGAACATTCCGAGAATTTTAAAAGTTCCGGAACATTCCGGGAATTTTCCGGAGAAAATCCAGGAAAATCTCATAAGTTCCGAAATTCGGTACAAGTTCCGGGAAATGGGAGCACTGGTCTGGGAACACAACGAACTGAGAGAGAGAAGATTGGAAAAAAGATACATAGGAGAAGAGTACGATTCAACAGGAATTCATGTGCGAACCAATGGGCCAACTGTTGATTTGTTGCACTTCAGATTAATGTAACGTTGTCCAAAGGTTTTCCCTGTTCTTGTTGCATTCCTGATTCCTAAAAGTAAGAAACTACGAGTTTCGATTGCAGTGGCGAAGCGTAAATGATCGATTATCAATACTTTCTGATTAAAGCTATGGTAAAAATCGATTATTAAGGTATTCGTCGTGGACACCCTGATGATCGATCCTTTTCCATAGGTTTAAACGGCAAATCACTCGATACATCGCAAACAACGTCACGCCACTGCTCGATTGGATTTCTTCGTAATCTAATTTAATTTTTTTTTAGACAAAATTGGAAAGCGTTTAAAAAGCGAACCAATCATACGTACGCCGACAGTTTGAAGGAGGGATACTGTGCGATAGTTTAGACCACTAACGTATGCTGCCGTGCAGTGGCGTGGCGTGAATTGCGATACATCGATAGTTATGCCATAAAAACCTATGGTAAAGAATCGATTATTAAGGTGTTCGCTGCGAACACCCTGTTTATCGATCCTTTTCCATAGGTGTAAATGATAGATCAATCGATACATCGCAAAGCACGCCACGCCACTGCTGCCGTGATAGCGAAGATAGCAGCAAGTGCATGCTGGGATGAACCTCGAGACATAAAAAGCATGTGCTAATCATGGCTGAAGCAGAACTGCACTTACTGCTCTCTTCGCTATCATGGCTGTATGGTGCACAGGGGCGCATACAAAATTAGAATGGAATGGATCCCTGGTGCGCACGTGGAAGCAAAAAGCACGCGCAAAAACCACCCAATACTCCAGGCACCAAAAGTATCATATGTCTGCAGATCTTCCTGTAGATGTGACTCATTTCCAAATATGATCCCTCTTGAGTTCAGTTTTGCAATCTGATCACACTCACAACTGCAAAACAAAGAAACAGCGCTCTAAAATTATCTGTTCAAAACGCTGTTGCATCTTTCAATTTCAATCTTCTATCGGCCATAGATTCGTGGTTAAGATTACCCTAGAGCTAGCCCCCATACGACTAAATTCAACCCATACTCTTCCGCCTAAGACCTTTTCTCCATGGGTTTTTTCATGGGATTTGTTCGAGGAAAAAATCTCATACTTGCAAAGTTGGGAAAAATATTGAATTAGTCAATACCAACCACGTAACCAGGTAGAGCCATTGTAAAATCCTAAAAAAGACTAAAAGATGAAAGAGAAAGAAGAATTTTTGCTGTTTTCTTTAACTGGGAAAGAGCCCAGAAGTTTAATTCCTACAATTCTAACTTGGGACAAATCCTATGAAACGTCCCGTGAAGTTGGCCTAACAGATAGGCTCTTTAAAAAAGCACCAATGTATACACGATCGGTTTCTATAACGCTATTCAATTGGATTCGGTTGGGTTAAGCAACTAAACTAACCTTGCAGTAATGCGTGGAGTATCATGGAGAAGTAAAGGCGCGATAAGTCGTGTCTACGAAGTTAGTACCGCTCTTGTGTGCGTTCCTCAATACCTTATGCAACATTTTTAACTTATCGAAGACCTTCAAGGAAGATGCATGGTTTTGCACTGTACTGTTATGCTAAGGAAGAACGCCTTCAGGTGTTACCAAATTTCCTTTGATAAAACAGGAATTTTGTGGTTAACTTTTGAATATTTTTCTTCTACTATTTCAGAAAATTTTGTTCGCAATTTCAGCTAAAGTTCCTGAAAATTTCAAGGAAAAATATTCATGACATTCCTTAAAAATAAAAATTTTATCGAGCACTGGAAAAAAACACATTGGATCTAGAGTCCAGACTCTTGAAAACATTGATAAGAAAAAGGACTTTTGATTCAATCAGATTTAAGCTTAAATCAAAAGGAAATCCGCTCAAATTAAGAGGCTTGGTTCTTGATTTAAGCTCAAATCTGATTGAATCAAGAGTATTTTTTCTTGT